TGGCACCATTAGGCAGTATACCAGTTTACTCATGAATACAACTATTGCCCTCATAGTCAGACAATTTCTAGTTGTGCAAATTGATCAGGCTTTTGATGGTGTTTTCCATGTGCAATCGCGAATATACATTTATTCATTTCTTCACTTAGATTTATGTGGAATATGTGAACTGTCTGTAAATATCCGCGAATTAAATGTTCGTAGTGCCCTCTGTCGTTTTGGCTACAGAGGAGCATTCGCCGGATGGTGTTGGCGAGCACTTTCTGCTATATCTCGAACGAAAGCTGCACATTCGGCACAATCAGTTCGTGCCTACTTGAACGAGACATTCGGTGGACGTTGCATGGGTCACGGAGGACCGACAGAATGGCCTGCGCGACCACCGGATTTGAATCCTTTGGGCTTTTTCTTATGGGGATACTTGAGGCGCATAGTTTATGGAATGAAACCCAACAACATGGATGAACTGAAAGAGAACATTGTGAGCGAATGTATGCAGATTTTGTTGGAGACATTGCAGAAAGTGCTCGCCAACACCATCCGGCGAATGCTCCTCTGTAGCCAAAACGACAGAGGGCACTACGAACATTTAATTCGCTGATATTTACAGCCAGTTCACATATTCCACATAAATCTAAGTGAAGAAATGAATAAATGTATATTCGCGATTGCACATGGAAAACACCAGCAAAAGCCTGATCAATTTGCACAATTAGACATTGTCTGACTGTGAGGGCAATAGTTGTATTCATGAGTAAATTGGTATGCTGCCTAATGGTGCCACCATTGCGTCGGGGCAGACTGAAATCTAAGCGTGTTATCATGTCAACTCAAGTCAAGAAATCGTTTTATGCACCCATGAAGGGTGAATTTTCAGCTGTAACACACACGCGATCGAAAGGGTAAAGCGAACAACACTGTAACCATGCAATATGCTCCTGGTCGTATGATTCCCTTTAGCAACGAAAGCAGCCTAATAAACACTTACGGGTTTGTTGGAAGCCAGTCAGGAGGCGATAACAGCTTTTATGACGATAGTAATACGGCGCCCGTCGACTGGTCATCACATACGGCCAGGCTGTTTTTCTCATTTGCTAGCACAGTGACCCACTACTTTCTTCGCAGGAAACCCTTTGCAGCTTTTTCACCTGCATGAAGGCCGACTACCGATCGATCGGAACATGACACGTTCAGTGCGGCTATGTGTTGTCTGGCTCACGTCCAGTTCTCACAGCCGAATGGCTTGCGGTGCGTTGGTCTTGCCCTGCAGTCGAGGTATGACGCATTCATTGCGGCTGTGGTGTTTGCTAACCTTCAGTTCTTCAAGCCGAACGGCTCGGTGTGGTCTGCGATCGTAGGCACACATGTCGCGTCTCTGTGTCCCATCTCACCCCTGCCGACAAAGTAATTTGCGCCATTGGTTAGTTAGCAATTCAGCGTACCCGTATAAGTCAGCACCTGAGTGCAGCCGCTCCTAGCTCCGGACCGGATCAATAGAACACGCTGTAGTTGGTAAATATTCACTTAACTCAGACCCCATCCGACAACCGCGAGCGTCTGTCACAGCTGTGTGCGGAGCATTAGCTGTTTCTTAATAGCGCCGCTTTTATGCAAGGTGTGCGCCGAATCGCGACGTGTCATTTTTTGACAGCTGCCCATACATAGACCACAAATGATCACTTTGCAGTAATTTACTGGCTACATGGTTCCATCCTTGACTCGCTCGTACTAAGACACGTGGTTAAACTATAGATATGCACTACTCCGGTGCGATTTTCGATTAACTTCGCCTAGAAGCATATGCAAAGCTTCTCTGGACCGTCAGCTGTGTCGTTATGCAAGCCATTAGTTAAGCATACGTACCATGCTTACACCTACTTATTCCAAAGATATCGAGCATCAGTTGAATAGTATCTGGGCTGTCATACACAATGCGGGATTCTCTGCTTGCAGCATTAACATTCGTCATCGCGCCAGTCCATGGACACTGAGAGAACGGTGAAACTGTTCGAATTCAGACGATCTCTCAGGTTGTATCTAAGCACCATGTGACAAGGAGGACTATTAGGTGCGAAAGGAGGCAGAGCCTGCGTGCTGAAAATGAAGTTTGGTGTACCAGTAGGGCTCAAACAATGGAGGAGGCTGGAGCAGTTGGTAATTAGCCCAAACTCTTCTAACTAGTCATCACCGTTTTTTTTCAGGAGCACCTGCGTCATTGAGACAATCAAGGAGGGTACCCGTGCACCGATTTACAATAATGGGCGCCGCCTGGCTCTTTGGTGATAACACTTTCGGGAGTAGTTCATATGTTCCTTGATCCTGGATCGCTTCCGGCTGAGCTATGGCTGGTTAATTTAGAGACTATCAGAGGCTGAGGTCCGAAACACGATCACAGTTGCCAATCGTTCTCCAGCTGGTAGTCCGGATCCACTTGACCCCACAATACTTACTAATGAATGGTATGTTCTCTGCGATGCACTAACCTGACTTTTCGAACAGGCTTAAAGTGTCAGTCGCACCGAACGTGCTAATCACAGGGTATTAGCATAACGCCGGTGGTCACAGAATTACTGGCCTCAATTCTTGTTCCTCGCCTCACTGCGGAACGGGAATCTTGGAGTATGAAAGTGCATACAGCCTTCCGCCTATGGCGGGAATGTATAGACTATATATTCTCTCTGTGGCATGTGCTAGAGCAGTGTAACACGTACTGCAGTGCGACAAAGCTTTGTTCGTGGACCATCAGAATGCGTGTGACTCAGCCAACAGATCCATTCTCTTTGAAATACTTGCGCGGAAAGGTGTTCCCATGAAATACGTGAACATCTTACGTGCCCTGTACTCGAGGACCACAGGTCACGTCATGGTATACGGTGACTTGGTGGATATCCTTCAGACAACAAGTGGCTTTCGGCAGGGTTGTGCAACTCCCCCCACTTTTTGTTCATCTTCGTCGTGGGTTCCATCATGGAGTGATTTTTTGCGGAATATCACGCTGCAGGCGTTGAGGTGCTGTCTGGTGGGAACTAGTTAATCTTGACTATGCTGTCCATATTCTCTCCCATTTTATGGATTTTTGGTTGATCTAGTCAACTCTGAATAGCCTCCTCAGATTTTCCCTATCATCTTGCAAGCCGTTCGTGCGTTTACAGTGTAGGACTACGAGCCACTTGATAACCCTTCGACCCTTGATAGCGAGGAGATCGTTGTAGTTGATCTATTCACTTACTTTGGCAATCGCACCAGCAACGATGGGCGCATAACAACTGAAGTCAGTTCACGTTATGCAAAAGCTTGACCTGCCTTTCTCAAACCTGCGAAAACTGTGGCATCAGAAAGGGGTTTCCCTCGTTCTGAAGTGCCGTGTTTACAAGGCCACGGTGTGGGCCGTCCTACGCTATGGCAGTAAGAATTGCTTTTTGATCTGAGGATGTGAAGCGCCTTCAAGTCATCAGTGCCTACGTAGCACTGTTAGTTTCGGATGTCACCAGCGTGTCTGCAACAATGATGTGCGTAGACGAGTACTCGGCAGTGATAATCATGCTAGTTCCTTAGAACCACAGATTACATTGCATAAGTTTCTTTGGCTTTGGCACGTACTGCATATGTCAGATCACCACTTACTGAGGAGTGTATTGTTTCGTTTCCCAGATGTGGGGTGTCGCAAGACCCGTGGTGGGCAAAAGTCAACTTGGCATCGGGGAATGAGGTCATTGGTTACCAACCACAGTGCCGTCGATCTGTCTCACATACCAGTCTGGAGTCTAGATGACTCGCCTTGTGCTTGACTCTAGATGTTACAGGACATGGATCGCAGTCGACACCAGTGATGCGTCTGCTGTCGTCTCTTAGTCGGATCGCCTGTTTAAAGTGTGTTCGTTCTGAGTTATCTGCGTGGTAATGGTTGGTTATGAGGCGGAGCAGTACAAGCCACAAGGGAACTATCGCGCTGAATTCGCTTTATCTTTACACGATAGCCAGCTGTTTGTGACGGTATGTTGTTGACAAGGTGTAGGAGTCTTGAGCCTGAATATGTGCTTGTGACATTTGGATTTTTCATCATGGCACCCTTACCCTACCCATCATTATTTTTTATTCGTACGTTCTTGTGTTTGTGCGACGGCGACGCATCAGTTCAAAGGGCCGATGTACTGCTGTTGAGGATAATTATGTGGACGAGGTTACTCTGCGTGATCACATGCATGCATATAAGGAAATTGTATTTATCAACTACAGACATCTGCCACATGCGATCTCATGTTTCTAGGACTGACCAGTCGTCCTGAAGTTACTGGATAAACTCCTGCGCTTATGTGCATGTTAGTGAATGATTTTCACATTCCATGCCCAGCTGCCAGGAATGTCTTTGAGGTATAACATGTATTAACCTAAAGAAGACTGGACCGAAGAATCAGCGCATTCTCCGAGAATAACTACGAATTAGCCGTCCTAGCCACCTGATTGGCTGGAATGCAGCTATCTTAGCTTCCAATATATTATTTCGGTATCATCGGGAGGTACTGGGTCTCTAGGAAAATGTAACGATGGATATGGTTCTTCGGGTATGATGTTACTTCTGTAGCAACGGAAGTTATGGTTTGACTCATTTACACCCGCATCAGCAATCGGTAATACGCAATATACTACACGTTGATTCTTCAGCCCCCTACCCGACTCCCCCAACAGCCGTCATTTCTGAGCATGGTCTGTAGAATGATTGTCCAGTATTGCAGTGACCTCTGATTTCACAATTTGTTCAATTCGACTGTGGATCTAGATTGACCATGATAGCTACCGAAACATCTAACTTGTATGCTCTGCCTATGGCAGAGGGTTGCGGTGCCGTTTTTCTAAGGCTTCTCAATTATGTGTCACCGTTCAAGTAAATACGTGCATAGTGGATGTGTTTATCAAGGTAGATATCCTATAGTTCTGTTGGTACTATTCATGGCCTTTTGATGGTCAATCCTTCATCATAATGCTCACTATCTTTTAATCAGAGCTCTGGCATGCCAAGGATTAGATATCATTTGCCCAGTAGCCAGAGCACTCGCAAGTAGAGAAGAGGCTAACAGAACAGGTAAAGTGTCGGTACGTATCACTTTCTGCAGTGAGTTTGAACTATTTTCTAATACCACCGTTCAAATTGTAAATAGAGTTAGAGTTGAATGACCACTGTAAGAATTGTAATGAAGACAGAACTTGTTCGTTTTCACTTCCCATCACCCTATTGATCATTCCTTTATTTTCGACCGCCTGCCGTACTCTATGGTTCAGTCATACCTACCGGGAAAATATACGCCGTTGCTGACGTGTTATGCCGATAGTCTTAGGGTTTTTCTCATGAGTCCTATTCAACCGTCATTTACTCTATTCTGTTTGTATATCACGTTAGACGCGACATCCTGTCGACGAACAACCCCTATCAGAAGGTCACTTGACAGTTTTACTCTCCATTTCCGCTGCCAAAGTAATCATAAAATATCACATAAGCAGGACGAGTGCTTGAAGCTAAAACCGTATTAAACAGCACAATACTTATATACAAAACTGGAAACTTCTGATACTCAGTCGTTCAGTAAATCACAGGAGTTAATTTTATCCGCACGTAAATAGCTGACCAGAATTCAACCGTTCTGGAGTTCACTAGAAAATTTGCATTTTGACTCTAGTACCCTCCATGCCATTTACCAAATACTCTTTATATCCGCCTGTATTAAACCTTATACTTTTTGCAATGCTGAGGACGTGTAGATGACAGCTGAACGTTCACCCTGCTAGGTCCATAAAGTTTATTTAAATTAAACTAAATTGAGCGACAAAAGCACCTCACAGTATGTATTCAGTCACTCAAATCGAACCAGATTAAGATCAAGCGCTCTTACAGTTATACGATAAGGTTATTAATTCGCTCCGCACGCCAGATGATGACAACTCAAGATGCTTTCGGTGATAGGAACAGAGTAGGCGAAGAGATCGATAAAGATATTTTCCATAACACAATGTCTATTAATGAACTAGAACTTGGCGACTTCTTGTCAATTCTAGTTGCCCGTATCAATGGGGTCTCAGACTGATCGATGGAGAGAAGTGTGCATGGGAAGAATAGTTGGAACAAGCAATATACTTACTTCAGTAGTTTCATTTCAGTATGTCAGAAATGAAATCCCGTCCGTTGCTTGGCGGAGAGAATGAGGAGGATATGTAGTGAAAACACGTTTTCATGTGAGCTTAGTTTCCTCCGAAGCATGTTCGAGCTTAATGGATACCCTGAAAAGTTCATCAAGAAGCATACGGAGCCATGTGCTTCTAGAGTGAAATATGTTTCCGCAGAAAGGCGATTAATATATTTGATGTTACCGTGTAAAGATGACGAGAATGCCAAATGGACCACCCACCACAATGAGAAAGTAATTTGCGGCCAGTCTGCTCGTAAACTTCACCTCAACACTAATTGTGCACCAGCAATTCAAAGGCAAGATGCCTTGGTTGTAAATTCCGTTCTGTAGGTACAATTTTTCATGCTCGTGTGGAGCATGGTAATTGGGAAAACAACCACGCAACTAACCGTAAGATTTCGTCAACATTGCCCAGCTCGCTTTTACAACGACTTGAGGAAGAATATGACGAGTGCAGTGTTGCCGCACTTAGTGGACTCCGAATACCAATTCACTTGGCGTGACACTTTCGAACCCATCTACTATGTACGCGAACATCACACAGGAACGGCAACAGGGGTGATCGCGATTCGGCTCCAAAAAACCCAATTGTGTGTTCAGAAAAATCTTGTCCAAGATCTTGGTTTACTTCCGTCACAAGTCAACACGACTAACAATGGCCATCACGCCAATTCCACCTAATTCACATTGACCAGGCTAACCAAGAAGTATTACTATTTGGACATTACGATTTAGCGACTCACTACGTCTACATCTCACTTGTCCATTCTAGTCACCTTGGCTGCGGTTTCAATAACCTGATGACAAACCATGAAACGGGCTTTTTCACCAACTCTTGTATCTGATGTTTTCTGCTGGAAATATTTTCAGTAGTCAAGACTTTCTTGAGGCCTACTTCCCCACTTTACTTGACAGCCTCACGTAACATTCTAATGCATAATAAATATATATCTATGCCATGCTCAATTCACACACATGTTAGATGTATTTAACCCCGCTGTCTAACCACCTTAAATTGTAATGAAACAACGTAAACTTAGCGCACGTCTTTCCTGACCTGCCGGTTTATACATTCGCTTCTTTCAGAGTTTGGCAGGACGGAAAACCATTCGGTCACACATAATTCAATTACGCTACATTGCTGACTATTTTGTATTTTCGGCCGGAATAGGTTAGAAAAGACTACATACGTCAACATTTGTGAACAACGGATTGGCGTTTATCTTGCAAACTCCGATTTGTCTGCTTTAAGAAGTTCTGTGGCAAATTGTGCATCACCCTTGAGTGGTCGAAAAGTAGGCATTGAAAGGCAGATTTTAACTTAGCTGAATGGAGTCACCAGTAGTATACAGATAGGTACAATCTACCGTACTGCGTAGCCAGAATCTCCAAGTTCTGATAAGACATTTTCGCCCATCACCTCAAGTATGCCCTGGTGAGGGCTTTGTCGACATCAGTCATGCTGCCAGTGATAATGTAGAGGCGTGGAAGGTGCATCATCCACATCATCATCAATACATGATAGCTGAGGGTGAGAAACTCATCTCAGCTAATGTTCCACAATACATAAAGATAAGAGACTAAAAATTACGCTATGAATTACAAAAATTACACTACAAAAATTATGATTTTAAATATTACATTTTGTGTTTTGCATGAGATCGGGATTAGAGGGGGATGGACAAAAAGCTCACGACACAAGCGTCATTGGGGCTGGCTCATCGCCATATCAGCAAGTGTGTCCAACCAAACGTGTTCACCGTCCTTAGGACCCCAGCCAGGCAGTCGGGATGCACCAACCGACGCCAGTTTCGAAGTGAGAGTTTTCATTCCTCTCGACCGAGTCATCGCTTGGCCTCCCCTCCTCTTCCAACTGCACCCACAACGCGCAAACAAAGCACATCGTGAGAGTCGGTGCGCTAGCATGCGCAACGCGTGGCCCATCCATCGGAGCCTGGTGCTTGATATAATGGTGCCGAACACTTCACTCGTTCTTCCTGCACCAGATACCCGACGCCGAACGCGCTCATTGCTCACGCGGTGCTCCCACCAGACATGAGCTAAGCTACGAAGGCAGCGATGATCGAATGTCTGTCGACCTTAGGGGCCAGGTTTCACAACCATATAGGAGAGTTGAACGGACGGCTGCGTTATAAACTCTGCCCTCCAGGGCGAGAGTAATGTCGCGTCTGCGGCACAGGTGGCGGAGATTGGCAAAAGCAACTCGAACTTTTTATATACGGTCCGTAACCACATCTTCAATCCAAAGGGTGCTAATATAGCTGCCCAGGTACTTGAATTCCTGAATGACTTCTAGCTGTTCACCACAAAGCGTGAGCGCATGGGTTGGTCCCTGCCATTCTTGGAGAACTACTCTGCATTTCGATGGAGAAGCGTGGAAACTTACAGTTGCACGAAAGGCTGGAAAACCACAAATACGCGCGACGACCTAAACAGGTACAAGATTCATAAATGGGATCAGACTGCGCGACGTAAACCTAACCACTGAGCTGAGAGCGGATCTCGAGCGACGAACGGTGGTTGGCCTGAACAAAGGTGAACAGGGAACATACTACTTAAAAGGCCAAAAAATAAACGCAGAAACGTGTTTCATACACATCATCCGTCGCGGTCCCCTCTCAGTTAGTTTGTAACTGGCATGGCAGTGGAGGATGATCCGGGCTATAGCGTAGCCAACTGTCAGTCATGGAGGTCCGCAGCCGTCACTCATGGCTTAATAGCACTAATTGCTGGCATCCTGAAGTCATGGGTTCAAAATCCAACAGGTGTCCGAACAAGCTGCGCCACTTACAAGACCAAGATGGTAGCAACAGCGCTGTCAGGTGCTTTTCTAGACGTGCCAAAGCCTGCTGGCTGAGAAAGGACCGCGACGGATTAGGTATGGAATTATGCCAAAATCCCCTCTACTCAATAGAAACGCCTTTATTTATGCCCACAGGAGCAACCCCGGGCAGAGAGAAGTGCGACTGCAATCAAATAAATCAGGAGCCATAGAACAAGTTTAGGCTAGTAAGAATGCGCCCTACTGAAGAGAAGATACGGGGTCAAACATCCGGGGAAGATTCACCAAGCTGGCACGAAACGACGTACGAATGTGACTGGTTGTCCTTTTCCAGGTGTGACCGGAAACATGACTTTTATTTGTATGTGTGCTTGAGGGCTTGATTTACCGTTGTCGCGTGCAATGGAGATGGTTCTTTCTTGCTATTTCCTTAAGGCAGAGAGAAGACAGAGGTTGCGATATGTCAACATTTCGATTGTTCTCTTCAGTCACAAACACAATACGATCAGAAACATACAAGGGATTATATACATGGGAAAAAAGGCACCACCAATCAAAATGTCACAGTCAAGACCATGGCAACCGAATGGATTGCCTCAAGAGTTTCTGTGCACATAGCACAGGTTGATAAGCCTTAATTAACAACGCCTCACTAATTGCTAGCATTATCGGGTTTTTGTTACGTAATAACACTTTGAACGCTGTCTCGGGGTTTACGTGATGACGGGTGGCCATTAGGTGCTTGGTGATAGACGATGCCGGGCTCCGGTTGATTCTCAGATTCGTCCCATGTTGTTGCGTAATCACTTGTCCCAACCACCTTGGCAAGTGTTCAGCTACCCTCTGAGCTAACTGACGGTTTGTTCTGCCTATGTAAATGTCACCGCAACCGCAGGTGAACTGATAAACAACGTGAGAGGCCGAACTACCCGACGAGATGCTCTGACGGTTGTGAAGAACAAGTGTCGAAATGTTGACATATCGCAACCTCTGTCTTCTCTCTGCCTTAACGAAATGGCTGAAGGAGACCCACTGTTTTCTCTTTCTTGCTACTTCGTTCTTGCTACAGTGACCTAATTCCTTCCCAAGGGACAGCGGACTGCAGTTGCTGGAAAGTATGATGCTACTTTTATTATCACTATACACGTGCTCCAAAACGGTTCAGCAGGAACCTTGCGTTCACCAGAATCTTCCGTTACGCACTCAACGTTCTACTCCTCTTGAGATGAACATTGCTTCGCAGGCTAACATGTGATTGACTTCATACCGTGTGATATCTTAGCAGATTTGCTAGTGTCGCTGGTCTAATGCCGTAGCCAATGTAATGACAGTTTTGTCGCAGCTACTGTGCGACTGGCACTTTTACTTCTTCTCTATGAAGAGCAGACTTAACATCATCGTTACGATACAGTAGTTTAGATGGTTCTATACTGGCCAAGACGAAGGAATTGCTTATCACATGCTTATGTGAGATTAATATCGCACTTTTATTGCAAGTAATGACAAAATTTTTACGGCACTGGTTCTCTTTCATCTCAGACAATTGTTTTCATCCGTGACAAAAATACCAGAGGTCAAGAGATTTCAGGTTACATAGACTACGCGCATCGTCTGAAAACAGAAGATTTCACCCCATATTTCGCAGAAAAGAAAAAAATTCTTCCCAAACCTGGTGATTTGAGGTAAGTTAGAATGAATGATGCAAACCAAACAGATTAAGTGGTCATTTGATATTGTAAGATCATGGGTGACTACAACTTCCTTTTGTCAAAGAAGCCTTGTTTTACTCTCTACTTCACGCTGCTTTCTGATCTACACAAGAATTTTCCCGCTAGCATAACTCGCTCAGCAGCGTAAAAGTGCGCCTACCAGAATTGTTATTAAGCTTCTCATTATGATTTTTGATTGCACTGTTTCTATGTTCACTGTTGATATGGTTCAGCAAACTACCTGTATCAGGATGAGGCTGTTGTCTGCAGTAATGATTGACACCATCCGGTGGCCTAAACGGCGAGTTCCCCGTACAAGCCTGATCAAATTGCAAGATGAACTCTGCAAAATGCCACGATTTCTTGTCAGAAGCTCATTAATCTGTATGTAATCAAGCAATCCTTATGCCAGTCTTCCATGAACACGTGCAACATCAGAATGCTTGAAGAATAATTCAAACGTGTAGAAGAGCAAGTGCTCGACAAATACAGTAGGATGGCTCTCTCTCTCTCTCTCGCTATATATATATATATATATATATATATATATATATATATATATATATATGTACCGTATTTTTCAGACGAAAAGACGCAGTATCAGTGAACGGATCTAATTCCATATATAAGGCGCAACGGATTATAAGGCGCATAAAGCGAAACAAAATAGTCGGATAGGTCAGATTTAATTGTATTCATTTACAATAACTGTCAATATTGTTTACTTGTAACACACATAAAACGCAGAAATATACACTCACTTTTTCAACCATTCCTCTTCCACAAATCCGTCATTCATCTTCACTATCGGAGTTTAACATTTTGGCCATAGCGGCATCAAGCAAGCCCGAATCCCTCTCGTCGTCGTCTGAGTCAGTCTCGTTGCTGTTGTTTGGCTGTTCATTGTTGACTCCGGCCTTCGTGTAAGCTCGGACGACAGTTGAGACCGATCCCTTGGTCCAGACATCGACGATCCATTGGCAGATGGTGGCCTAACTAGCCCGGCTTTTGCCTCCCTGTTTTGGTAAATGTGTGCTAACCTGTCATCCAATGCTCCCAGGCGGCTCGCCATTTAACTTCGAACGCCCTGTTGACACCAATATCTAGCGGCTGTAGTTCGTTGGTTAATCATCTCGGTCTGATGGCAAGCTCCGAATTAGTCTTCTTCACTTGGCGTTTGACAGTTTCGGTGAGATGGGCGCATATTGAGTCTTAGATCAATAAGGACGGAGCTGTGTGGAAAAAGCCATCCGGTCTCCTGACGTAAAGTTCTCTCAGTCACTCGTTCCTTTTCTCCTCGTCCATTAAGCCTCTTAGGTTGACCTTGACAATGACCCCAACAGAAAACCTTGCTTTTAGCAAAGTCTTCCTCTTAAAAGTGAGCATGGGTGGTAGTTTCTGATCATTAGCATGGCAACCGAGAACTACAATGAAGGATGATTTCTCGTTCCCTGTGGTGCGTATAGATACAGTAGACGTCCCTGTTTTTTCAACAGTACGGTTCACGGGGATGTCAAAGCTGAGAGAAACCTCGCCCATGTTTGTGATGTGGTCCGGCTGGATCTTATTTTCGGTGATTTTGTTCTTGCAGTAAGTGCGGAAGATGGCACACTTTTCTTCCTAATCCTTTGGCAGTTGCTGCGAGGTGATAGTCCTTGTGCGGATGGAACGATGACAACATTTCATAAAACGAAAGCAAAAAAGAAGGACCTCCTTGAAAGTTGTTCGTTTTCATATAGCGTGCCATCGCTATTGCCTTGAATCGAATGGAGATTGTAGTGACACTTCTACCTGCTGTTCGGTGTTCAGTAAATCACTGCTCATTTGTGTACTCTAACTATGGCCATCTTCCTTTTTCCATCGGAAACTCTTCTTTGTCTGCTTTACTTGGCGCAGGTCATCACGCTTCTTCCACTTCCGTACCATTGCTTTATTAATGCTGAATTGTTTCGGAGCTGCTCTATTCCCATGTTGCACTGTGTGGCTGATGGCCTTCAGTTCGAAATCCGCTTCGGAAGCATGTCTCTCAAAAGGTATCATTTTGGGGACCTTAGTTACCGGTATGTGGAAGCATAGTACGTATCAAGAAAAGTGGTAGCGGTAAGCGAACAAGCCTCGTCTTGATCGTCAGCATGCGACTGGCGCTGAAAGATATTATCGTGCTTTTCCTCATATCTTAACCAGATGGTATGTTACCACGCATTTCTCAGTAAGTGCACAGTTATTACCTCCGTAGTACAAGCAGTTTCAGTTTTCTATCCGAAAATCACAGTTTGGACGATAATGTGAGTGAAGCTCACACGGGCGTCACCGACTGTCTGAATGGCCGCACGTCTTCAGAACACTGGTGTGAGCGCAGATCGTGTGTTTAAACACCCACCTGCAACAATCGAGATACAGGTACGTGTTTTGGACAATGTTCGCTAGGTGCATTGTTGGACTAAATGAGTTTGCCGGAAGGAGTAACCATTTACATCTATCACAGTATGAGATATCAGTATGGACGGTTGAATAGTTATTTGGTTTTTCGTCGCCAGAAAAGCTGGAATCAGTTGGCTTCTGCACAAAGTTCCCCACCCCCAAAACAAGTCTGTCAAGACAACATAGGAAGATGACCCCACAAGGTTCTTGACCAGCGATAATGCTTCGATACTCAAAGTCGTCAGAAAATATTTCGACAGATTTTTATGCGCAGTGTGAACATAGGAATTGATTCAAGGTCACTAAGCCTCAGTACAACCATTCATACTTAGGGCGCACTGCCGAAATTTTAGCCAATATAATGATTTTAAGTGCACCTTATAGTCCGATATATATATATATATATATATATATATATATATATATATATATATATATATATATGGTTGGCGGCATCCGGTTTCGGATTTGCCTGTCACTGTGGCAAGCCACAGGACGCCTGCGCCTGCAGAGGGACCATGGATGGCTTGCGCTGCACCACCCACAGCTCCAACCACATACCCCATATCCAGTGTAAACCCGAAGGAATAAGACCGGGAGGCATGCGGATGGGAACCACGTTTCATCAACGGAGCCGGCCCACACTCCTTCACAGGCAAACACACGCACGCTGTATTTGGGGAATCAACCGCACACAAGGCGGTGGCTGGACCGTAGTCCGCTCCACACTGAGTGCATGGAACCACTCTTTGAGCATAGCACGACCACAAACACCGTGCACCCCGTCCCGTCCATCAACGAGTAACTGTCTCCTGGCGCCAGTATGGACGAGGTAGTGGGTACTAGACAGGTAGGCACGTTGTCAACATGCACATCAAGCACAGCCACATCGGGGATGTTGAACAGCAGCCAATAACTGGAAATGACATTATCAAATAAAATATATCTGTTAAAGAATACGGCTATGTCGACATAACTCTTTGCGAAATTAGCTTGTGAAGTATGTTGGTTAGCAACGAATCTGCGATAAGTAAAAAAAGTCCAGAAGTGACTCAAAATACGCTGCAAACGCAATAAACTTAACGACGATAACAACAATTAACATAAGCAACGTGTGCAAGTTACTAGAAGATTCTACAGATAGGCTGAACGAACCAAATAACGTGGAGGTCAAACAACATACAATCACTGAAACGACGATATCAAATAAAATAAATCGAATAATACATACAGATACGATGGAATAATTCTTCACTAAATGAGGACATAAAATAAACTGGTTACGAACATATCCGCGAAAACTACAAGACGTCATAAAATATATTTTAAGAAAATACCAAAAACGCGAAAATGTTATCGGAGTTAACTACAATTAGCTTGAGCGACGTGTGCAAGTTTATAGAAGACAGTTCAGATTGACCTTAATATGGGATAAAGAAGCATTAAAACAGTATAGGAAGCCCACCACCTGAAATAGAGAGACTGCATGAAAGTACGCGATTAGTAAATCGAATGCAGTGTACCTACAAACGCTGCGCCGGTTCTGCCTACCTTCCCTGCAGGACCCGTCGACGCTTCGGTGGTGGCCCCGAGTGTCCTCGCTCATGGCGCACTAGGACTGCGTGACTCAGACACTCGCGACCGCATGTTCTACAGCACCATGCGCCTGTCGCTTCCGAAATTGCCGCTTCTTCTCTGCATGCACGAGGGCATGCACCTCAGTAACGGCCTTCGTGATCAGATCGCGCCACGCACGCCGATCAAATGCCTTCGATTCCCATGACCTGCAATTAATATTAGAACGTAAGAGGCTCACTTTGATCATGTCCTGGTAACGTAACTTTGGTTTCCCAGCATGCCGCTTTCCAACACTCAGCTGACCATATAAAAGTTGTTTCGGTATCCGCGTCGAATCCATACGTCACACTTGACCGAGCCACCTCAGGTGTCTCAGCTAAAGTATTCAGTCCACTATATACATTCCACTTCGGCACAACACTTCCGTGCCAGCAACTATGTCACCTTAACCGATGCGCAGAATCCGTCGCAAACATTGTTGATGGAGCCAGTTGAGATATCGCACATCCCGCCGGTACATTGTCAACGTTTCACAGACAGCACCATGGATTTGTACACCATCAGCTTCGTGCCAACGGTAAGCTGATGGTTGTTTCACACTCGGTACTCAAGCTTCCCGAATGCCGCCGCTGCCTTCGATACGTGGATACGAAGCTCACTGTCTAGCTGCTGATCAGTCGACATCACACTCCCAAGGTAGCAGAAGCGGGAGGTGGTTTCCACTACTTCAGCACCAATGCTGATTTGCGGCAATATTGAAGATTGCACCTCCGATGAAGGCTGAAAGAGACAGACAGTTTTGCTTGTGTTGATGGTGAGCCCGAATTCGGCCGCTGTCGAAGCCAGAGCACTAGTCATGTGTTGCAACTCATGCGCGCTGTGTGAAAACAACGCACAGTCGTCAGCAAACATCAACATACGGATAGTTGTCTCACAGACTAGTGTTATCGCACCGAAACGACGGATGTTCAGCA